ATTTAATTTCTGTTCATTGTCCAACAGCTCCCCAGTGTGTGAAGCAGGTTTAATTATTTTCCTTTCTCACTGCATATATATACATATGCATTCCCTGGGCTTAGCATGCAGAATGGAGGGTTTTTTAACTACTTAAAGAGGTTTCTTTACTTAAGCCAGTCCAAAAGTCAGTTTCCTTACTTCTTTGGCTTGTAATTCATGTATGAAGTTTGCAAAGCCAACCAACATCTGAATAGTTTAGAGGCTTATACAGCCAGTGTAGGATTCACACATTGTTCTCTTCTTTTTCAGTAAGGAAATCTGTTGATTTTTTTTTTTTTCACAAGCAACTTTCACAAGTTTCCTTTTTCTCAAGAAATATTTTATTTTTTTTTGTCTCTTTCATTGACATAACTTTTATACATAAACCCAACATGTATGGCTAGAAACAGGAACTGATGAGAGAGATGCTGGGAATGTTGAGAGATGGAGCGAGGGTAGGGCAGTTCTGAAGAAAGCTAGAAAAAGATGTAGCAGGAACAAGAAGCAGCAGAGATGCATGGTCCTTGGGTACTGAAGACAAGGGATGTTGTATATGTTTTATAGTTGTTAGGGGCTGGAAGGGACCTTCCGGATCATCGGGTCCAGCCCAGGGACCAGCTGCACTGCAACAAGTAGGCTGTGGGGCAGATTTGAGGCAGCCTGAGCATAAAGACCAGTGGTGGGTTAAGATTTATTGGGGTCCTAGGCAAAGAGAGAGATTTATTGGAGGCTTCCCACACCACATTATAAACATGAATGTATGGACTCTAGCAGGGGGAGGGGCCTCTTCCCCTTCTGTTCCTGCTGGTGCTGCTGCTGCCAAGGGCAGGGCAGGCCTCCGTGCACCATGTGGGAGGCTGGGTGGACCCAGCTGAGCTGCAGGTGGGGTGGCACATGCCTACCTCTCTTCTCTGCTCTCTGCCCCCCTCCCTCCCACCACAGCAGGGTGAGGGCAGATGCAGGCTGCTTGCTGCAGGTCTGTGGCCCTCCGCTTCACTACCCCTGCCTTGGGGGACCTCTGGCCATGCGCCCCCCGCCTACCCAGCAGTGGGAGGCACAACTTGCCACTCCCACTGCTGCTGGGCGGGCAGAGTGTGCATGGCTGGTGCAGGGCTCCCAAGGGAAAAACAGCAGAGCGGAGAGCCCCGAGTCCACAGCGAGGAGCACACATCCGCCCTGCGCACAAGGTTATACAGGACTTTAAAGATTGGTTTCTGTGCAGAGGATAGTAATATCCACATGCTTGCAAGAGTCACAAAACTGGTCTGAGTTGCAGCTCAGACCAGATGTTTGTAATGGTGAAGAGTGGGAGAAGTTTTGATTTTTATTAAAGAAGATGGGAGTCAGGATCACAAGCAAGTTATTTATGATGTTTCCTCCCAGTTAGAGAAATGTTAGGTGTGTTGTAGGTTTTAATGCAGATGTCACTGAAAGAGCCATATCTGAGCATTGGTGAAAGATACAAGACTGACTGTATTCAGGAATCCCTAAAGGGGCGTTTAGACTATGCACTCAGAGCTCCTGGGGGACTGGGAGTGTCACTTCTGAGCATGCTCTGCCCACCTGCTCCCACTTGGATGCCGCAGACTGGAAAATGGGCCAGTGAAGCTGCTTGTAAGGTGTTCTCCCAACCCCCACCTACTTTTGACCTTGTTGGAAACAGTGAACTCGAGACTAGTTTTAAGGTGTATAAATTGTTGACAGCTTATTTGAATATGAAAGTCTCGTTTTATATCAAGAAAGGTCTTGCTATATCATTTAGTGTTGAACCAAAAAAATCAACATTTTTCATGGAACAGAATTCCCGTTTTCTGGCCAGACTTAGTGGTTACATGTATTTTGCTCTAAAGGCTCATATAAACCATGTCTACATAATCAGGTTGGCATGTCTTTCTTTTTCATGGTGCTTATGTGGCAGGATATCTCAGAGTGCATTGCTTCATGTTACTGGAGTTCTTTATTTTGCTATCTAGCCTTCATTACTACTGGTGCCTTATGGAATAGATTCTGCTCTATTTCCCCATACTTTACTAATAAAAATATATAGTCAACACATTATTTTAGGACTCCTGTGTATATGCAAGTCAAATATGTTTCTTGCGCTATGTAAGATCGTATTGCATACAAAAACATGGTTATATTTGACAATGCCATCATGGTCTAAACGGAGAAATATTGGTAAAAATGTAGTAAAAAGTTGAACAAATAAAGGCCTGGCTGCAAAAAGTAGGTAAATAAAACATGGCCGCCATTAATAGACTTCTATACTGCTGCTCAGATCAACAGGGAAAGGGATTTTACAGCAGCAGTGGTATAGATTAGCTCTTCCCTCAAAATAGTTTATAATAATAAAAGGTAATATGATAAAAGGTGATATGATAGTAAGAAAAAACACCACCGTCAACATTATCAGAGAAAGTTATACTTGAAATTAATTAGAAATAAACATAGCTCTTGCATTAGTAAGCTTTTAGATACATTGCTTAAATCGCCATTGTTTGCCTTCTGATAAAAATATAAGGCCCATTATAAAAGTATGTTTCTTTCAATCTCTTTCTCTACCCCAGTAAATGATATAAGGTAATATTTTTTAAGGGTGATGTAAGAAGAAAGTTTGGGTCTCTCTGATACTGTTTTTTAATGGGCCACTGACCACTTAATTAAAGTGCCACAATTGGCCAATAATAGCTCTACCTGTGGTCTGAGTGGGGGAATTGTTTTCACCTCATTTCAGCATTCAGCACTGTCTTATCACTTGCGGGGACAAATGGAGATAAGGAGTTTCCCACAAGAGGAAATGGTGCCACAGATCTGAAAAAGTACTTTATGTGAATGGTGAAAATGCAGGAGAAGCATTGTCCCTTCATTTGGAGGAAACTTTCATATATATATATATATGTTTCTCCCATTCTCTTTAAAAATGAAGGTTTTAGTTAAGCTCTGGATATATTGAGACTTTCTGACCACCAGGAACCAGACCAATCGAACTATGGATGTGCCATTAGCTAGGATGCCATATAGGCTTCCATTCTTGCCAACTGATCAGTTTGAGGAAGGAATATTTTCCTTACTCTTAACCTTCGGAATGTCTCTTGTGGTTTGATCTGCAGTAGTATAGTAACTATAATTTGCATTTGATGGGACAGCTCAGATTCTCTCATGTAGTCACAGGGATACAGATAAGGAGTGATATGTTATTCCAGGACTCTCCTCAGAGTCCAGTCCCTTGCATTCCCAGATGACTGTTTTTACAAAAGTGTCCACAAGAACATCGAACCTCAGACCTTGCTCACCAGACTCGCAAAAAACCTACAATGTACCACAGAGAAGAGCAAGAGAAGCAAAGATATCACTGATTTCTTGGCTACTTTAGGGAGGAATCTGTTAGGTAAAATGTACTCAGATGATCTGAGTAAGTGGACAGTGTCTTGCACTACAGAAGGTAAATCCCAGCAATCCATGCCAGTTTGACTTGGAGGAGAAGTTCCTCTGATCCCAGAGCTAGTGTTTGGTTTAATCGTGAAGTGTGTGAGAGAGGCTGAGAGTTATCTTAGTACTGTCAGGAACACCAGTGCAGCCAGTCAGTCTCCCACCTGAATTTGGCCACTTTCCAGAGCTTCAGAGGCTGGCAACTCCTTCCCCGCAAATCAAACCTAACTAATGTATTTGAACAGGTGGTTTTCCCCTTCAAAATAAGTTGTGGTTTTTGTTTTTGTTTTTTAAAATGTTTCTGTCCTAAGTCATGTTAGAGCTTGTGCCGTCTGCTGCAGGACGGGTATAACACTTGACGGTTGAGGCTCTGGACCTCTGAAAACCCGTAGGCCAGGGTGCTCAATCCCTGGTTTGAGGGTCAGATCTGCCCCTGCTTCCTCTCCTGCCCCCAGTACTGTCATCTGGTCCATAGGGCTCCTCAGAGATCTGTGGGGAGTTCTGTGAGCTAGCATGGGCGCTTAGAGCAGTGTGAGGCCTAATCCTGGCACATAGGGACTGGGCAGGTATGGTGAAGGGCCCTAAACCTAGTGCCAGCCAGGCGGGCGTGGCCCCAGGGCCCAATCAGGTCTATGGACCAGCTTCGTGCCATTCATCTGGCCTGCAAGGCCAAAGCTGGGGATCACTTTGTAGACCATCTTGAGGGCCCATAAGCCCCAGAACAGTCCAGTGAGTACCTTTTAGAAGTAAGTGGTTGTCTGCCCTAGAGGGCAATCCCAAAACATATCACCTCTTTACACCACTTCCAAAAACACTGAGGGAAGATGGAAGCATTCAGTAATCCAGCATGTGTGACATTTGATAAATGCTGAAAAGTTAAAATGTTGATCAGGTTACATATTGTCCACAGAATGCATTTCTGTTGGCTTTCCTCTGATGGAAAGGTTGCAGATTTCTCTGCAGTTATCAGTAGATTCAATCTTAAGTGAATTATTTATTTGAAAACTTAGGAAGTACCACGGAGCATCATGGAACGTTAGCTTGATTCTCTCAGTGTGTGCTCCTGGTGTTTCAGTTTTAAACAAATCACAAATCTGTTTTTCTTTCAAAATGTTCAAAGTTTTTCTATGTTTTAAAAACTATTGTAGACCGTGATAGGTTCAAGGAAAGGGTGGCTACCTCATTAGAAGCTACAGTTTTAAAGAACTGTGCCATTTATACCTGTCTTCTCACAAGTATTTTCTTAAAATACTATCTTTAGACTGTTGCTATGTTTTATGCATTTAGTCATTGTTTATACTAAACAGAATATTACAGGGAAGTGTTGAAGTTAGATTTCAATGACACTTTATGCAAAACATATGCTCCAGCTGGCTGGCTACTCTTCTCATGCCAGTCAGTGTTGTAATAGTAATTTTTTAAGCTTCTGCCAGTGTTATGATTTAAATGAGTAAGAATTAGCTATTTTTCTTTATAAAACTGTCCACAGCAAAGTTTTTAAAATATTGAAAGTGTGCGAGTACTTCATTCCTTTGACTTGTTTCATGTAGGAAAGAAAGGAAAGGGAACGGAAGCTCAGCAAAGAAATGGCAGAAAAGGCAGTGAAGGATCTGGAGAAAATTCAGTTACAAGAAAAAGCTAAAGAAAAATATAAAGAATGGTTAAAGAAGAAAAGAGCAGAAGATTCTGACAAGAAGAAAAAAGAGAAGGTATTGTTCTTTTTAATGCTCACTGGTCAGCCCTCTCTCTGCTATGCTTGAAGCAGCCCCTCTTGATTAAATGGAAAGTACATATTATGCATTTAGTATTATGGAAACACAGTAGGTTCTTCAAGTAAAGCAGGAAGTGTTGTATTTCTCCTAAAGTGGCTAAATTCCTGCTTTACCTTCAGAACTCACTTTGGCCTTAACTATGGATCCTAGTGCTTCCTTTTGGACATGCATCCTTTTATTTATTTATTTATTTTAAGAACGTAGGAGTAAGTTTTGTTAATAAGTTTGAATGGATAAAAAAGAGTTCTTTAGAAACTTTGTAGCTTGTATCAAATCCATTTTCTGATTTGAATGATCCTGGTAGCACAGGCCCTTCAGACATGCTACATAATGAAAACTTAATGCAATCTTGAGCATTGGCTGTTTTTTGTATGCATTTTTAAGGAATTATGGTTATTTTTGCCATTATTCTTTGTAGGAACATATTTTTTTACTAAGGCCTGAGAGAGAATCTTTTCCATAGAATTGGTAGGAAAATAATGAAAACAAAAGTTCTCTTTAGAAATGGCCATCTTCACTCTTCCTGTTGAAACTTTGGACTATTTTAGTTTATTTTTTGGTGATTGTGCGGGCCGGGAGCGACCCGAGCCCTTTTCGTGCTGCACGCGGGCTGTGGCCAGCAGCCCGGGCACGCCGGGTCGGAGAGGGAAGGCCTTCGAGCTGGAATTAGGCACAGACGCGTATCGGTAGTTTTAAAGATTGTTTACTTACACCGAGATGGCAGTGGTGCAGGCTGGAAAGCTTGCTTGAGTTGCGGTTACAGACAGACAACAAAACAAAACTCGAACCTGCAGGGCACGAGGGTACGTCGCAAAGGGTTCCGGTGACGGGAAGATGAAAAATACGAGGGTACGTCGCAAAGGGTTTCGGCGACGGGAAAATAAACCTGCAGGACTCGAACCTGGGTAGAAGAGCTCTGAGGCCGGTCGTAAGGGCTCACACAAAGTTTGCTAGGCTCCGTGGGTTCTCCTGTTCACTCATCCACACAAAGTTTGCTAGGCTCCGTGGGTTCGGTTCTCTTGCGCGTCACACAAAGTTTGCTAGGCTCCGTGGGTTCTAAAACACAACAAGACGCTTGTATCGGGCTACAAAGCCAATCACTAGCAGCCACGTGTGAATAATTTAGAACTGGCCAATAATGGGACTCGAATTAGCATACAAATGGCGGGAACTCTTTGCAACGAGCATTTCTGTGCTGCAACAAAGAAATGCACCCTGCAAAGAAAGCTTCAAATTGGCGGGAAATTCTCCCTTGCACCGGGGTTCTTTTGCAGCAGAAAACTCCACCATGCAAGGAAGCTGTAATTTAGCGGGGACAATTTAGCAGTGCCGAAGCGCGCACAAACAAAAATCACACCCTTTGGGTTGTGACAGTGATAAGTAAAACGGGGGTCTGACCTTTTTCTTTTTTAAATAAGTGAAAGAGAGAGTTCATAGCAACAGGGAGAAAAAGTTGAAAAATAGTACATATTTAAAGCACATTTGAGCAGATAGAGTATTTTTTTTATAACACACAAATCCTCTTCCAACAAGATAATCTCTTAAAAAAAATTGATATCAGCCTCTGCAACAAATCTAGATTTATTTGATAAAGATAAGGATGTGTAGTGAGCTGTTCAAAAGTACATGGAACATTTGGCCTAGGGCAGGGGTCTCAAATAGACCCTTGTGCCCTGGCTGGATCTCAGTTGCAGTGCTCCAAGCAGGCCAGATCCTGCTGAGGGCATGAGAAGTGCTGGCAGCAGCAGTAACTTCAGCTCTGACCTGGAGCATGTCGTAGTAGCAGCAGCACCAACTTGGGGCAAGCAGCAACCGCTTCTGCCTCCACTGCTTGCCCCATGCTGCAACAGCAGCTCTAGCGCAGGGCACGTGCCAAGAGCTGGCAGCTGGGGAGGTAGGGCAACAGAAGTGGTAGACGGAAGTAGTCCAGTGAACCAGAAAAATACATGGACTGTGGAGCTAATCCAATGCCCCCATCTTAAGGGAAAACAGATGAAGATGGCTTTAGACTGTTTCTGTGCCTTCCCAGTTCTAGGTTGCTCTGTAGGTTAGCAAGGCCTTCAGAGTAATACAATGCAGTTGGCGTAATAATATTAGCTTTCTAGTCTGTCCAATGGGTTATAGATCTGTCCATGGAGGCAAAGACCCTTATGGCAAAGCACCTCTGGCTGCTTTCAGGATACCTTTTAAACTGAGAGCTCTGACTGGTTTGTTGTTTTTGGTTTTTTTTAACAGTGCTTGTGTTTGTAATCCTTGCTTTTATGTTGCTGAGTCCTTTTACCTGGTATGTATTGTGTGAGGGTGGGTTTGAAGATCATAGCATTGAAGTCTTGATGAATAATTGTTGTGTAATTTTAAAGAGTTTTAGGAAAAGGGCTTGACCATTTTCATTGTGGAGGAGGAATATAGCCAGTTATCCAGGAAACCCTTTGCAGTACATGTATGTTTACTGTCTTCGAAGTTTGGTAGAAAGTTCTTCCTTCAATACATCTTGTTTTTAATTATTTTTAGGAAAAAGAAAGGCAACAGGAAGCTGAATTGCAAGAGAAAAAAGAGAAATCAGAGAGGCTTTTCAAGGAATGGCTACAAACTGCTAGAAATAAACCACGCCCAATTTTAAACAGTTATGGCTATGCCAGTGGGAAATGTACAGGTTTGTATTTGTATATTAGATGCATACAGCCATGTCTGTGTTAAATGTATAGGAGGTGTTGTTTTGAAGAGGTGTAGGAGTCGGACCAAATTTCCTTACAACAAAACCGAAAAAACCCTGGTGGGTCAGTCTCTCTTCAGGATTGGTCTTCTCTTTCCATGAGGGGGAGTCTCTAAATTTGATGTCATTGTTCTTCCCTATCTTTGATGACATTGTTCTTCTCTATCTTCTCAGCACTGTTCCTTTTTACCTCTTCCTTCTCCAAGGGGAGCATAAGAAAAATGTCCTAGTTGCAAATGCGTAATTGCAATATGATGTTCAGTGAGTCTCACTGTTCATTTTTGTTCTTTCCTCCCACATCACAGAAACCAGAGAACTGAAAAAAATTGTTGTAATTTGTTTGTTTTTTCTATACATATGCTGCTCTTCCCAGTAAAGACTTAGTGCAACTTACAGTGAGTGAACAGAATAACTAGCACAAGGGTGGGCAAAATATCATTTGTGGGCTGGATTCGGCCCACCAACTGATTGTATCGACCCATGAGTTGGGGGCCACAAAGTCATAGGATCCAGCCCGTAGGGAACTGGTGGCTCCAGCAGCTGCATTGTGCTAGATGGGTGGGCATGTCCCACCTCTGTCTACAGCTTACATCAGCTCCCACCTCACATGCTTGAAGCAGCACTAGATGCACACTGATATCTGCTGTGGACACTGGCTGCAGGTTCCTGCCTGGGGCAGGGCAACTGCCTGGGACTGCAGCTGATGCAGCAGCATCACCTGTGGATGTGGGAGAATGCCCCGATCCTCAGCAAGAATCGGATACCTGCGGCTGCAGCTGATGTCAGCACCCATCTGGCACTGCTTCCAGGACACAGGCCGAGAGCTGGTGTAAGCTGTGGGGCTAGATGTGGGAGGGTGGCGGGGGGGAGAGAGACAAAGAGAGTCAGTCCTGCCTGTGATGAGCAGCAGTGGCCACTCCTGGGTGTCAGGCAAAAGCAGTACCTGGCAGCAGGCACGCTCGCTGCTTCCATAACCCTTCTGCTGCCGTAAAACTGAAGCTGCTGCCCATGCCCACACCAGCTTCTCCTCCCCCTGCCCCCCAACCTGAACGCACATACGGAGGTTTAGTGAGCTGTTGCAAGGCCACAGCAGCCCACAACAGACCCAGCCCACAACAGATCTCCAAAACTCCCTATGTGGCCTGGGGGCCCAAATAATTGCCCACCCCTGAACTAGAATGACTCTGTCCTGTTTTCTTCAGGTCAATCCCATTTTAAATACCTGTTCCCAGTATCCTATTAGTTTGGTCATATGAATGCTTTTGTCCTGTTTGTTTTGACCAAATACAGTGGCAGTAATACTTTCTAGCTGGGGAGCACTCCATAAACTTGCCCACCCTCACCCCCTTACTTTTCCACTGTATTCAGCTGAGACCAAAACTTGGAGACAGCTGAGCATGCGGCTGAGTGGGGGAAGCAATGTATCCTGTTTTTTGAAAGTCGGGAAATATGCTAAGCCTAGTTATAATGCATTAGAAATATGAGACTTGATTGATATTCTCTTTAGAAATAAGGTATCTATCTCTTACTTTTTTTTCTAGTTACTTATTCACTGATCTTTTTCCTTTAATTTGTAAATCAGTTACATTTATATTTACTTGAAACTTAAAATAATTTGCACACTCCTAGTATTATATTCAAACAACTCTCACACCAGACAAACAGTTGCTCCTTTTGCCAATGTCTATTATAGATGGTGGTACATATTGCTTTCATGCTTCCTATTGGGCCCTCCTAACTTGCTGACAGCTGCTATCAGTTGTCTCAGTGATTTTTTTTAAATAGTTCTATACTCAGTTTGTTCACACAATAAAACATGTTCCAGACTTTGTTTTGAGCACCCTCATGAAGTATGTGTTGAAATTTCATTACAGATGAAATGAGCTGATATCCCAGCTCTTGCAAGGGTAACATATTCTTGCAGTTGTGGCTGAGGATTGATGGTATGGCTCACATATCATGAACTACAGATAGTGTTTTTCCTATGTTGGAAGAGGTGTAACAGTTTAGCAAAGATTGAAATAAAAGTACCTCTATCCTAGCTATAAAGTTTGTGGATAGCACTTACCACTAATCTGTATGTTTTGCTAATATTTTTTTTTCTAAAATATGCTAAAGTATAAAAGTTTGCCTTGATAAACATTGTTCATGTTGTACAGTTCTTTACTTATGTGTGTATCTACCCTTTAAAAATAAAACTGAAGAATGTACTGATTGGGTAAATACAGGGTGAAGGATTTATTGCCTTGAGTATAGACAGAGTTGTACTAAAATCTTGTGCCAGGTTTGTTTTAAGAACCCAAAGTTAATCGAAACGCAATTAAAATCAGGAAGTTTTTAAATTTTTGCCAAACAAACATTACTAATCTAAAAACATCTCAGAGTAATCCAAAAATTATCCAGGATCTTTTTATTTTTCTTGTAATTTAGTTATTTGCTCCCCTTTTAATTGTGCTTGCCTCCTAAATATTTTAGGATACTCTGATGGAAATTCATATCCGGCTCCGGCCTATTGCAACCCTGTTCCTTGGAAACCAATACATGTGCCTCCTCCTAAGGAAGACCAGAATGTTACAGTGAAGAAAAATAAGAGACCAGTATCCAGTCAGTCATATAGGTCTTCATCTATGGTAATTCTTAAGCCCAAGAGCAATCTTTATATTGGATCATTGAACAGAAAACAGTACAAGAAGCAAAATAAGTTTTAATTGGCTTGAATTAAGTAGGTTATAAAGTGCAAAGCTATTTCTTCGCTAAGAACATATTTTATTATAGTGTGCTTAAAGGCAGCATTTTGCAGTGTGCTTGCAAACAGTTGTGGTCTCTGTTATTAAGTAAGGAATATTTTTTCATATTTTTAGCCTAATTTTCAAAGCTGTGTTAAAATGACTTTTTAAGTAAATCAGTTTAAGTCACTCAAGTGACCTTTTTATATTTAATTGTAAGAAATGTAATATGTAGCCAATTGTAATGTAGCCAATAAAATATATATGGTTATCTTTTGAGAATTTCTCATATTGTGCAAGTGGTTGGTGTTTTCATTTTGAAGAGCTTTGTTTTTATGGAGATACTAGTTGGGCTTTCATGCTGATTATTTTAAAGATACAATCAGTTACAGCAAGCTTTTTAAAAGCATTCTTTTGTAGGGTACTAAAGTAAAAAATATTCAAATTTCTCTTAGAAATTGAACAGCGAGTATTACAAAGCCAACCTTGTATTACATATACTTTGCATTATTTCATGATCTGATTATCTTGACTGTTCAGGTAGGGCAACATAAAGTTAAATAAATGACACCCTAATGCTGATTTTTCTTTCAAAGTAAAATATTTTTTGCAGTCATTAATGTAAGTCTAACAATCAATTTTAAGTCAATGCTTGCTCCTTACTGGGTGGTAATAAATTAAAGCTTTATAGTAAATGTCTGGAATATGCAAAAATTACATTAGAGATGATGTGAATATGATTTCTAAAACTAATTTTCAAACAGTGGATTTCATAAACAGGTTCTAGTTCTGAATAGATGTCATGATAATTAGTTACATAAACACATTTTTATGTTCATGTGATTTGTTGTGTTCAAACATACAAAGAAATGTAAAATATAAATATCCCAAACAAAACATCTTTGTCATCCAAAATGAAATTACACAAGGCTCCTGTAACAGGCAACCCTAGCCCTGTTACTGGGATAGGACTGAAGGATAAGAAATGCATACAAAGACCCCTCTAACAGTAAGACTTTTGTGACCTGGAGAGACCCAGAAAGCGTGAACCTGACCTGCTGGGGGTGAAACTCGCATGAGCAGGGCACTGGGATGGGGCTGCAGACTGGCAGGGAGCAGGATCTGGGAGTGAGACAAGTACGTGGGGCTGGGGAGACCCCAAGATCTTGGGGTGGTGATGGGCCAGGGTAGAGCCCCAGTTCTGCGGGCAGAGCCAGCAGATCGCATCTCTGCCTTGGGCCCTAGGAAGGGGACAGCAGATTGTTGTCACCACCCCAGGATCCTGGGGTCTTCATGAAGACCAGCCAGGACCCACGTGGACAGGGCCTGAACCCCAGGCTGAGCGCATGACACTGGCCCTGGCCCATGCAGGGTGTTGGGGTCCCTGTAGTGCTGCTTTGGATCCATCCACCCCAGCCACGATGAGCAGCAGCAGCGGGCAGCCATGAGATGGAGGTGCCTTTCTACCCCAACGGTCTGGAGCTGCTGCCTGACTGTGCTGCCCAATTTTAGAATTGGCAGCTCAAGCACAGAGGCAGCAGTGGCTGGACAGAAGCTGCTCTGGGCACTGGGCAAAAGTGGAGCCTGGTAGTGGGTGCAGCTGCCTCCCCCTCACCACTGCCAGGCCCTTCTTGCTGCAGGTGCTCTGAGCCTGTGCAGCCATGGCATAGGCTCATAGTTTCATAGCCATGGCTCTGGGCAGCTGCAGCAAGAAGGGCCCCTGCAGCACTAAGGGGGAAGTGGCCGCGCTCACCACCAGCTTGCACATTTTCTTAGTGCCCAGCAGCAGTGTCTGCCAGCTGCTGCTGCTGCTACTTCCATGTCCAGGCCACTGACACTGAAGCCAGGCAGCAGCACAGAACTGAGCAGCAGCTCTTGCCCCTCGGGGTAGAAGGGCAGCCCAGAGACGTGGGTGGCAGGGGCCCTGGCTGAGACACCCTTACTGAAGCTGCTGCCTGCTGTCGACCTGGAGCAGCTGCTATAGCTGCTCCAAAGTGCCAGCCGTCTGCAGACCCATCACTTATAGGGAGTTTTGGTGAGCTGTTGTGCAGGGCAAGGTGCGTTGACCCAGCCTACGACAACTCTGCAGTAACTCCCTATGTGGCCCACAGGCACAAATAGTTGCCCACCCCTGCACTAGAGCAACAAAACTGCCAGCTGCTGTGAGGGCCAAGCTGCCTAGCAATAGGCTTCACAGAAGCTGCACTTCAGGCCAGGACTAAGCTGAAGGCTGCAAACAGGTAGACTGTTAATGAGGAGCAGCTGGCCCAGGACTAGACTTATTCCAGAGGCTCTAGTTGGGATAATGGGAAGCCCCTGCAGCAAAGCTGGGAGGCAGGGATCAGCTGACCAGTAGAGGCAGGGCTTGCCAGTATATAGACTCGGGGCTCACTGGTCCTGAGTGTTGGAAAAAGAAGAGCCTTCCTGCTAAGAGCCTGCCTGCTGAATGTAACGGAACCTAGGTCCACAAGGGTATCCAGGGGTCAAAAAACCCAAACCCCTGTGCTGCTCCCTTGCAGCACGGAGAACAACTGAGCACTCGTTATGTGGCACCACATGGCTGTGCTTGTCCGGATACACCCAGATCCGGATCTGTGTCCCAGAAAAATTCTTGTTCATTTTTGCTATTAAAAGATGTGTAAATGGGAAGTTTTAATCCCTAGGCAAGCAAGCTGCTGCTGAGTGGATATGGTGCCAATGAAGATTGTTGCTGCTTTCTCCAAAGACAAGCTTCTCTCTAACTTTGGAGCAGACTATTTGTGATTACAATTCTTGAAAAGATTTTGTAGACACAAGTTGGCATCTAGAAGCCTAATATTTCCTTGGCCTGTTATCTTAGATACCAGCTGAGATAAAATGTAGAAAATGTGCTAGTTGTGTTGGGTGATTTCCTAGTTAGGGGCTAGATCCTGAGTCAAGTGAAAATAAGAACGGTCCAAGGAATTACTTAAGAAAACAGGCATTCTAGCATGTGAGAACTGTCAGGTCATAATGAAGCCTAAATGTGGTCACAGCGGTCAGGAAGGACAAATCATAAGAGACGTTACAGCAGCTCTACATTGTATGAGATTTTGGTAGTGTGCTTATATTTTTATCTGTTAATTTTGGATTTGAGTTCCATTTTTACCTTTTCTGAGACTTGGATTTAACAAGGCTGTACTTCAGAGCCTTTTCTCATTGACACAACCTACTCATACTTGAAGGTTTGCATGTTTCCTGCGTCCCCTTTCACATACTGTGTCAGCTTTGACTTATTCGGACGCTGCTCTTTTGAGTCCAAACTTGTGTTTCTGATTTGCATTCAGTGCATTTCTAGTATTTACAAAAAATAGCATTTTTCTATCTTTTGGAAAGCTTGAAAACAAGAATTAGAATGGAAATGCTTAGTCAGCTTCAACCACAATGCTCTTTGGAGCTTCTGGTATAAGAACTTTTGATATATTTTGAATTTTTATGCCATTTGACCTACCAGAGGCTCACCACAGGCAGTCTAATATGCTTGCCTGATATTATTGGGATATTTTGTATTTTTGCTGTGTGATGATATACTGTTGAACAGTGCTTTTAGTATTCATCCTTGTATCCATAACTACTAATGGTAGCTTGCTTACCCATATAAGCAAACCAATATAATTAGTATCAGTGCACTGAACTTGTGGTTTCTTTGTTTCCACTGGGAAAGCCCTACCTGAAAGTGGAAAGCAAACTTTTTTTCATGTGGAATACTTTCACATCTTTAGCTTGTTTGTCTTCCAGGAGTTATTTTTTAAATGCTGCTCTAACCTGATTAGGATATGTGACTATTTTACTTGAATGGAGAAATAGTGATACTGTTAGCATATTGTGCATTTAATGCACAGTTTATATGCCATTTTCCTTCAACTCGCTCTTGATCTAGCATTTCTAATTTACAGGAACTTCTGAACTCACAACAACCTTCATCTCCAATGGAAACAGAGACTAGAGGAAGATAAAACCATTAGTGACATACTCCTCTGCCTCCCATATAAGGCACCGCACATGAAATAAAAGGAAGTCATCTTAAATCATGGTAATTGGTAGTGATACTTATTTGGTCTAGATAACATGATACTACATATGCTCATGATATAATGAAAACTTCTGCTACACAATATACCAGAGATCACACATTTCAATTAGATTTGATCCATTTTTAGATTTCATTCTAGGTAAATAATTACGTTCTTTTTAACATATAAGCACTTTACTTGCGATGTCAAACATACAGCCCACAGGTGTCTCGACTAACTGGCCCTATACACTGGCTCTGGTGTGCACAAACTGCCTGGGACCTAATCTGGACCAGCCCTGGAGTCAATGCACAGGGCTAGTCTGGAGGGACATTGCATGTAGCCTATACCACAGATGCCCTGAGTTGTGTGTGGCACCATGTGCAGAGCAAGCCCTGGAACGGGGCTGGTGTATGCTATATGTGGCATGTGGGCTCGAGGTGGTGCCACAGGTGCTGCATGCATCACGGGGTTGCTCTGTGCCTGGGCTACAGACTCATCTGGCCTGTGGGGCCAATTGCAGGGGCCTCTCTTGGGTTAGAAGTTGTACTCATTGTGCCAGATAAGGTGTCCAGTATTACTTCTGCCTGCTCCAGGTACCTGATGCACAAATGCAACAAGGGGTAGTGATGCTCATGGTCTAGATGCAGGCCACTGCTTATGTGCTCCAAAGGGTCCTTGACACATCTGTTAGAGGAGGATGAGCCCTATGGGTAAGTGTTCAGAAAAATGAGGGCATGGTGTGCCTTCACATCTTTCTGTACATAGGGGAGTTTGTGTGCCAGCCAAATCCTGTGAGGCCTGAGCAGCAAAGTTTGGCATGAGTCAGAGGTAGTTCTTCAGAGTTATGGAGGGGTGGGAAGCAAAGTAAAGGAATCCAAACTCCCCAGTGCATTTTGCAGGACAGTACAAACATAATATGAATCCCTTCACAGCGAACTGCTCAGAGGTTGTTCCTGAAGGAATCTAAGCCAGGTATCCTGAAGGGCAATAAAAAGCTCTAAAAATGTCACTGCACTGTCATGCTCAAAAAAATCTACAGAAGCCCTTTACAGGCTGATTCTGTGAGCAAAAACTCATTAGCCTATTGGACACTAAGGCCGTGTCTACACAATCATGCACTTGTCTGTTGTGGCATCTCAAAGCAGTTTGAGACTGCAGGAGGCATGCCAAGACCTGAAAAAAGTTCCCCGCTTTGTATATTTGTAACACGGACTCTAAGTTTGATACCGGGAGGAAAAAGCAGCACAGGGGGTGCTCCTGAAGCATGCCTGGAAGCAACTAGAGGCTGGGTACTCCAAGGAGATGCTCTAGCACCCGGCCCGAGTATCTCTATGACTGCAGCTTGCCTCTGCTGCTCCAGTATGCTGGAGGAAATAGAAACGGGGCATGGCTATCAGCAGTATCTCAGGCCTAGGCTCTGTCCCTGGTAAGCAGAGCTATGGGGGTGGGGGGACTGTGGGTGCAGGGGGGACTATATGGGAGGGGTGGGTTCCCCCCACATCAAACAGCTCCTGCTGCTAGTGGCGGGAGCAACAGCAGCAGGCCATCATGTCACTCGTGGCCCACTGCAGGCAAAGCCCCCTGGCAGCGAGCAGTGCTGCCTGTATCTCAGAGGCTACATGTGGCGTACAGAGCTGGCTCGGCCTGCTGGTGTGCACCTTTAGGCAGCACCGGGCCAGCTTCTGCTGCCACTTGGGGCTCCTTGTACTGCAGGCAGGAGCCACGCACCATAGGGTAGGGCTGGCTCTTGCCTCCACGTGGTGGGCACGTGCAGGCAGAAGCTGGCCCAGCCTGATGGTGCATGGCTCCTACTTGCAGGGCCGGGAGCCCCGGGTGGCAGTAGGAGCCAGCCCAGTCTTGTTCAAAGGTACACATCAGCAGATCAGACTGGCCCCATGCTCCATGTGTAGTCCCCCAGACTCTGGCAGCGCTGTGTGCCACTGAGGGGTTCTGCTTGTAATGGGTCATGAGTGCCCTGAGGGGCTGCTGCTGCCACCATTGGTGAGGGCTTTGTGCCTGGGTGGGGGACAGGTGTGTGGCCAGCCCCCCCGCCAATCCCACACCCACAATCCCTTCCCACAATCCACCCACAGACCCCGCACAAACCAAGCCACAAACCCCATACCCACAACCCCCCCCACAAACTCATCCATGAACCTCACACCCCCACCCACAAACCCCACATCCAAAAATCCTCCTACAATCCACCCACAAGTCCTACCCTCCCCACAAACCCCACATACACACCTACAGCCACCCACATCCCCCCCCACAAATCTCATCCCCTACCCAGATGGGACATGACCTAATCCTGGGAGCTGTGGCTGCAGGGGCAACTGCCATACTGTAGCCTTGCCCCATGCCCACACCAGTGCTGGGACATGTGGCCCCCATCCTGGGTGGGGTTCCTGGTCCTAGGAACCATTTTGGGGGGGCAAGGTGGCAATGGGGGGATGGGTGATGGGCAGGGGGGATTGAGGACTCAGTAGGGTCTATGGGTGTATGTGATGAATCAGGGGTGGCAGCAGGGGTGAGTATGAGAGATGGGGGTGGGGGGATGAAGGATTGGGGAGTGGTCTGTGTAGCATAAGCCACCAAAATTGGGCTTGGAGCCCTGCGACCCCCTCTTAGAGCAGCCTGTGCAGGGGGAGACTGGCCTGGAAGGGAAGGGGCTTGCCCAGTTCAGTCCCTGAGCCCCAGTCAAGGGCTTCCCAGGATGGGTATGGTGATCGCTGGGGCCTGGGCATGGGCACAGGGAGCAGAACAGCAAGGCCTGGCATTCCTCAGAACCACAAAACAGCGGGTGGGACAGCTGCAGCTGCACCAAAGTCCTGGTGCTGGGAGGGAGTTTCTGATGGGGTGGGGGGGGGAGAGTGAGGTGGGGGGGCAGGCAGGGGCTGTGGATCAGGAATGAGGGGCACTGCTGGGGCTGTGGGTTGGGAGTCAGGGGCAGGGCATCGGCATATCAGTGCTGCTCAGTGTGGCAAAGCTGTGGGTCTAGCTGCAGCTGTCCTCACACCCTACTGAGAGAAGGGGGCAGGGGCAGCTCTGATTTTTCTATGATAAACAAACCACAAGCAAATGTGTATAGATATTTAGAATGTATTTTATTATGATGATAGAGGCACTGTTGGACTTCCAAATTGCTTTAAAATTGTAAATATGTCAATAAAACTTTTCCCACCTCATCTTTCTCTCTCTCTCTCTCAATATAGGTATATCTAGACATATATTAGTGGTGTTTCATTTGAATTGTGGAAGAACACGGATTTGGGGTATTTTAATGAGAGAATTTGGAATTTTTTAAATTGGAGAATTTGCAATTTTTAAATAGGATCCCTGCTAGTGAGGCAAGTGGTGGGACCCGGGCAGAGGAGCTTGCATAGGGCCAGCATTGGGGATCCAGGTGGAGGGCAGATGAGGTGGCTGACCTCCTGGCTATTTGGGGCCAGGAGGACATGCTTCGACAGTTCAAAGCAGGCCACCACAATGACCACATCTTCTGGGTGATAGTTGCCCAGATGGCAGAGTGAGGGGACCAGAAGACATTACAGCAGTGCCACACAAAGTCCAACTGTGCAGCCATGGTCCATTTGCAGCTGGCCCAGAGGTGCAAGTGGCTCTGCTGCAGTGTCTGTACCACTGCTCAGGCAGCTGTGCAGTCCCCATTTGGATCTAGCAGGCATGTAGCCATCAGGTTCAAGGGGGTGGATGCTGCAGGAGGCAGCAGGTCACAGCCAGGCAGTAACCCTCACTGCCAGGCTGCTGCAGTGGGTAGAGGGTGCAAGGGGTAGAGGGTGCAGGGGCCACTCTATGTTAGGGCTGCTTCAGCAGTCCAGCTAACACAAGGGGCTAGTGTCCCTAGATCACAACTGGCCAGGCCTCAGAAGCTCCTGAGGGCAAGTAGCCTCACCAGGGCAGCTTTTTATACTGCTGGGGCCAGTCTCATTTGACACAGGTCAAATGAGGAGCTAAAAGCACCTGCTAGCATTCTCATTCAGTAGTGGATCCAGGAATGGGACAAGGGGGAGCACGGCTCCCTACTCTGGCCCTGCTGGAGCCCTTCTCTTGATTTCTGCCCCCCAATGGAGTCAGGAGCAGGGGAAAAGAAAGGGTGAGCAACAGCAGCAGTGCTCATAGGATGACCATTGGTCCTGTTTTATACCAGACCACCCTGTTCTTAAACCTTTTGTCCCCTGTCCATTTCTGAATCTACTGCAAAAAGGAGAAGCAGAGTTCTGAGCCAGCCAGGAAGGGAGGGAGGGAGGTGGAGGATCCCTGGGGCTAGTTGCTCTGCACCTGTGCAAGGAGCTATGGTTGCAGGGCACATGCAGTCACAGTGAGAGCTGAGGTGCTGCTGCTTGCCTGAGCTCCCTGCCCCTAGGCTAGGTGCGTGCAGGTAGACCTGGGCCTCGGGGGCAGCTGAGCTGCCAGGGCCAGGCAGTTGGTCTGCACATACACTTCCATGCTCTGCCTCAGTACAAGGGAATGGCTGTGAGAGCAGGCAGGTGGGGCGCGGCATTTGTATCTGCTGCAACACTGCCAGTAGGACTGGGAGGAGGCTCTTGTCACCATCTTCACACCCAAAGAGCAGCCTGGTGAGTCCTTGAGGTGTCCTGCTGTGTGAGCAGGGGGAGCCTTGGGCAGAGGGGTCTCTGGGCTCATGAGCAGCTGGTCTAGTTTATTAAGCCATTATTTCTCCTGCGAGACAGGAAAATCTGCCTGCCTCCTGGGGAAGGAAGGGAAGGTCCTGCTGGGCAGCTGGCTGCATGGCCACAAGCATACAAGGCTGACTGACCCCTCATAGCCCAGCTCTGACCAGAATGTGGCCAGGGCAGATTCCCTGGTGCCCAGTGTCTGTGTCGAACGTTGATAGGGAAGGTAGTGAAGTCCCTGTGAAGTGTGTGCCCCTGGTTCCCAAGTGTGAAGCTGACCTGCAGTGAGACCAGATCCCAGGGGATAATTTGGTATTCACAAACAAAATTGTTACTGTCTGTATTCAATGTCACTAAAAAT